TTTTGACTAGAAAGTAATTTATTTTAAACTAAATCTTTACTTTATTCAAAAAATTAATTCTATTCCAACCAATCTGGTTAAAGTTCTTTCAGCATTTTAGCCTCCGTTTAATGCACATACGCGTAACATTACAGAATTAGGAAATATTAACATTATAGAATTAGTTTGTTGCTTTATCTAGGAATTATTTTATCTCTGGAGGTGCAAAATTCACATTATACGGAGATAAAATTAGGACATTATAACAAAATTTCTAACATTAAGGGCAGCACAACAGCTTTATATATTGATAATCTTCTGTCCAATATTGATAATAAGATAAAAATTTCCATCCAGTATCGGAAAGTTTAAGAGATTACACAAAGGTAAATCCTAGAACATTAAATTACGTTTATAGTTATCGGATGATTAAAAATTAAGCCCTAATAGTTAAAAGATTTTTCATTTCATTAACTTTTATTAATTGTCATTTTATTAACTTTTTTTAAAATATCACAGATTTAACCAAAGGCACAATAACAAATGCCATCGAAAAATTTAAGTAAATATATTAATTATAAAGTTCATTATCAGCAGAGGTCTTTACTTCATAGCATAGTTTTACGTAATCATTCTACAGACCAATAATCATTCTAAATTTCTTTTAGAAATTTATTTTTTAAATTTAGTTTAAAAAGAATCTAAATGTAAGTACATACTCTTATTTATAGTATAGTAGCACTATAATTTTCAAATATTTATTAGAAAATATTTGTTACATAAAAAATTATACCATTTTTATATTTTTTTGCACAAATGTCACAATTCCTGGTTAGGTACCCGGAACCAGCCGGGTGATAAATCCAAATGTTACCGGGTATCGGGAATAGGCCGGGTAACAATTTTTTTGCGTGTTACCCGGATGCCGCAGCACCAGGCAAAATGTTAGGATTCGTTAAATCACTATTTAACGTTAAAAAAAGGCATTATATTGTACACTGCAGAACAACCTAATGCCTCGTACAAAAGAAATAAAATAAAAAACAATCCCACTTTAATTAAATAAAAAACGAAATTCGAACCTAGCTCGCACCGACCACAGTGCTGACGTAAAGTATCCTCAGTGGTAGGCGGATCATGGGTTAGGATCCCCTTGCCGTCGGGATAACCTTGAGAGGATTTCGTGGTTTTCCTCTCCATGTAACGCAACTGCGGGATAGTTCAATCGAAAAAATCCTCCATAAAGGCAAATTTCTCCCAATACTTGATCCAGGAGTTCCTTTGTCTTCTGAACTGGGTTCAAAATTACGAGGCTACAGAGTTGAACATTAATAGTCGTAAACCCAAAAATTGGGTCAGCTGTTCAGCGAAGGTTATAAAATAAAATATTATTATTGTAATAAATTAAGAAAAAATCTTTAACTTGATGGTTATTTTTCAACAATAAATTAAATTTATTTCACAACGAATAAATTGTTTATTAATTTATATCGATAAAATACGAAAGATGTGAATTAAGTAAAATTAAAGAAAAAACTTCATACTTTACTTTTCAACTTTAGTCCATTTTTTTTTATGATGTAGATTCAGAATTCTCTTCAGAAAAAGTAATTTCTTAATAATATGGAACGCCTTGAATAATTTTCGATCTAATGATCGGATTTTCCCCGTACAAGGACTCAAACTTAATGGTTCACGGGGGTGACCTCAAACATGCTAATTAATCAGTGCAAACTATATATTAAGTAGCCGCAATCTGGAAAGTATGGTCCCGATAGTTTGGTCAGGAAAGCCGTCGAAAGTTTGGACCCCTTCGTGCTAATTTTTTGTTTTGCGTATTTCGCCAAACAAAAGATATCGAGCACTTTTTAAGCGAATAGAAATTTTTATGCACACACGTATAAAATTAGTTTATCCAAATTTAGTGTATCATTCAAAATTTAGCTTATCCAAGGATAATTCCACGAATAAAAAAAATTTTAATATTATTTATTATTTTTCAAAAATTATTTTAAAGAATTTAATTTTTTATGGCGAATTACATAATTTGAACTAAATTGGTCGAAAGGTTTCTGAGAAATCGAATTTTAACTATACTTTTTTAAATTCCATTTCTCAAATCAATACCTCTGGGGGTACCGATCCAGGAGTTTCCTTGTCTTCTGGATTGGTTCAAAATTACAAGGCTACGGCGTTGAACATTAGTAGTCGTAAACCCAAAAATTGGATCGACTGTTCAACGGCAGTCATAAAATAAAATTTTAAAAAAACTATTCGACCGATTTCGTTCAAATTTTGTATTTTGCCATGTAAAATTACATTCTTTAAAATGATTTAAAAATTTGTATCCCTAACAATTCAAAACTTTTTTACTATTATTAATTTAAATAATAAAAAAAAATTATTAAAAAATATTTTTTGCATTGAATTATCGTTGAATAAACGAATTTTATAATTGTATGCAAAAAATTTTCAAATCGGTTTTAAAAAGTTCTTGAGACATGACGAAATACGCAAAAAGAAAAATTAACATTAAGGAATCCAAACTTACGACGGCTCTCCTGACCAAGTTATTGGGACTATTATTTTCCCGATTGCGGCTACCCCTCATATTTTGAGGGTCAGGAATTCAAATCCGTAGAAAAAAAGGCATGCTTATTCAGAAAAGGAACGCTTTTATGTCTTTGAAAAAAAAATCCGGTCAAAAGTTATTCAAGGTGTTCCGTTTTTTTTATCCGCACTGTACATGACAACTAGGCCGTCGTTCATTGCTACGTGTTTGTGTTATAACTGGCAATGTAGCCATTATGGTCAATAAGGTGAATATTCCAGGGAGAGATACTTATTACAGAGAGAAAGAGCGTCGATTGCACTCAATGGTGGCTTTTTACCAGATGCCGAAAATAGCCGCCACAGAATAAATTCATCCGTAATATTTTGAGCTGCCTTTATTAATAATTGAAACTGCTGAAATAAATTCTATGAATTCAGCATCATTTAAAAATTCATAAAAAAAAAGGGTTGATCATTTGAAATCTGCAGGAATATTATTCCTTATTGTCTGTCAGTGCGTAGCTTAATTATTTAAATACCAAATTTATTTCTTTAACTTATTAATAATTTGAATACTAAATAAAACAATAAAAACTAAGGCATTAGTAGATTTTAAAAAAAGTTTTTTTTTTTTTTGAATTGCTTCTTGTTAATGGGCTTTGCAAAAAATATTTTTACTAGTGCAGCAATTTTTATTTTTCTCATATGGTCCGCTAAATTCATTTTTTAACCATTCTTCTCATAACTTGACTAAGCATTTTCTAAAATCTTATTTAAAATTCATATGCCATTAAAAAAATCTAAAATTTTTACCTGTATAGTATCAATATACAATCCAAAATCATGCTCCACCCTCTTAAAGGAAGACTTTTGGGTGGAATCTAAATCTTTTAAAGACTGTGCAGTCCTACCACGTGGTATCTGTACGCTTGTGGGCCATGATATCTGACTATTAGTATTATTTAGCTCATTTTGAACGTTTTTTCTTGTAAAAAACGATGCTATGTCTGTATTTATCCTGTTTACTTATTTATTTATTTTTTTGCCAATTTAAGAATCAAACTAGCCTAAAAGCAGATCAACGGAATAAAGGGATTTAATTTTTTTCTTCTAATTATATTGCAGAGAAATATAGAATTATTTTTTTCTGATATTGTAGGGAAATTAAACTCTAAAAAATGCTCTAAACAAAGACTTGTCTTACCACTTGAAGCATGCATCTACAAGCAAGTTACATTTCACTTAAAAATTAAAGAAACTGATGAATAATGTTGTGGACAATGGATAGATATGAATCCTGTTGAAGACATCAAAGAAGTCCCTACTTCTACATCTGTTGGGTTTTCAAAATATGGTTTGTTTCGCTCCCACATAGTGAAATCTCTTTCTGAGAAATGAAAGGCGTTCAAAGAAAAGAAAAAGCCTGAGGAGCTGTTCTGATAATATATTCTGTTTGGAGATTCTTGACTCAAAAAGAATAGTTAACTTATGTTCTGAAATAAAAGTTAGTCTTAAGATTATTTTTTCAATTAGATAAATTTCAGAAAATAGCATTAATGATAAAAAAAAAAAAAAGAAAACTTGGCTTATAGTTTTTAAGGGAGGGACTTTAAAACCTGAAAGCCCTATCCTGGGTGCGCCATCGTTTGATAAGCCTTAATCTAAAGCCTAGATGGTTGAAATACAACCCGTCTTGATTTGTAATTCATTGTTTTGTTAGATAAAATAAAATTATGAATGTGAATATTAATTGATGGCTAAAGAGCTATGAAATTTATATTTTAAATAAAGACCTGCCTTTAATAAAAAAGGATACAGAAATATGGAATTTCAAGATCCTCAGGACCCATCATTTCCAAACTCAAGTGGTATCAATGCATGTTTCAAAATCAAAAGGATGACTGTAAGTTAAAAAATATTCATTCTAAATGCAGAATAAGTTGTGAGTAGCAGCAATTTTAAATTCTCCCAGACTATTAACAAAGTAGAAAAAGCTTTTTATTTATTTATTTATTTTTTGTAGTTAGGGATTTTTTCAGAAAGATAAGCAAGTAATAAGAATTACTTCTACAAATAAAAAAGTTATTATAAGTATAGATTATTTTCTAATTTATTTATATAACAAAAAATTAATTACCACTTTACTATTTTTTTTTTGTTAATTCAAGATTTTTGCTTAGTGAAGTTCGTGTGTGAATTATAAATTTGTATGAAGATTTAATTTCTAATTAAGTTTCCACAGTGAAAAAAAAAGATTTAAGTGTCTCATAGCTTGTATTACATTAGTTTAATGTCATAACGTCTCATAATCAGGCCCTATAATGATTCACACTAGTTCCTTAAAAGATGTACAAATGATTCTATACTGTATATGAAATTGCTTTGTACTAATTTTAATACATGTGTTAAAGTTATTATAAATGAATCAATAAATATATATTTAAAATATTTAAAAAAAAACACACAAACACATATTAAATAATTTAATACTTTTATCACAATAACCATTTCTTTAAAAAATAGCATTCTTTTTATCAAAAGGCATAATGTACACTTACAGAAACTAAATGAAAGTAAAGTATAGGTAAGAATTAATAAATTACAACAACAAAAGGGAAAAAATTTACAACAGTATCTAGATTTAAAATGAACTAATAATTAAAGCAATTGGAAATTAAAAATTCTAATTCTAGATTTAAAAAAAAAAATTTATTATTATTTTGAATAATTTCAAATTTTTACCATCTCTTTATTAAAAAAAAGAAAAGCCGATATTAAAAACAAACTTCACAAAAAATTGTAATTAAGAACTGCTTTTTACAGGTGTGTAGAAAAATAAAAATAACTTTTGAACTATTAGTCCCATAAATAAAAATACAAAAAATCTTTATATGTTTAAATCTTTACATGTAAAATTTTATACTGAGTTTCACTTGAACGTATTTAATAATAAGTCATGATTATAAATTGCAATAATAAAGTTCACTTGAAATCACCTTGTTCCAATTGAAAATACTAGTGTAAAAATAAAATAACATTAATTATGTAAAAAGAATAAAAATTGATTGAACAATATTGTTCCCCTTGCATAGTAGTTTTTTAAGATAGCATTAAGCCTAAACTACTTCAAAAAATCTTGTAACAAGAAACATTAGTACAATGACTTAATACAAAAATACAAAAGTAAATAAATAATTTTAAAAGTTCATTGAATTTCACACAGAATTATATGATGCTTTAAATTTATAAATTTAAATTAAGTTACAAAAATCTTTTATTTAGCAGTTATTAATTGGGAACACGTAGACATGATGTAAGCTGTAAGACTGTAAGCTGAGGAACATAATTTTTCAATGTGTTTCGGTATAGAAAACAGGAATCTACAAAGAAAAAAAATATTTTAGAAGAAAAACTGCAAAATATGGTCACTTTTTGTCATTGTTGACTTTTGTAGATTTTATTCAGAGTAACTTTAGTTTACCAATAGGTTAGTTAAAATTGAACAAAAAATATGTAATGTCCTAAAATATTGCTTGATACATAAACAATTGGTTATAGTCAAATGATAATAAGTATTGCACACTCGAATTACCTGAAAACGGCAAAGTAGCTTAAATCTTTTAGCGGTAGTGAGGAAAAGTTGTAAGTTTTCATCAAAAAGGAGAAAGCAAAATCAAATAACTCTAAATTAACATCTTTTTCTGCTTTCAATTGGCGAAAAATTTTAAAAATTAGACGCAAAATAATTAAAGTTAAAAAATTATTAAAAAGTCACCAAATTAGTTAATTTGTATAAATAAAACTAAACTACTGCTAACAATTATAAACTAACTATAACAATTAAATTTTGATTTATGGAATTATTGAATTCAATTTGTAGCAATTTTTATTTTAAAAAAATCATTTAAATATTTTTAATATTGCGCCTACATAAAAGTAAATATAACAGAATTATTTTTGAAATTATTTATTAACTACAGTAGAGTCTCGATAATTCGAGGTGGACAGGACTGAACCTACCTCTAAAAATTGCAAACTCAAATTATCAAAAACTTAGAATTTAACAAATATTTAAATAAATGGAAATAAAGCAATTTTTAAATTTCAGTATTTAATTGATATAATGTATTATATTTAAAGAAAATTTAGTTACATTAGAGGATCAGGGTTCATTTACTGAATTACACAAAGTTACAATATTCATTATATTACTGCATCTGGTTAATTTTACATTAAAATAATTGTCTCATGTTTTTAGTTTAAAAACACTATTTAAATGTTTCAGTGCTTAACACACAAATTTGTTTTTCAACATTCAGTCGCAGTTTTTCAACATTAGTCATTGTAAAACCAATCGTAGTAACTGTTCCATGTGTTGTGAATGCATTGGTCATTGTTTGGGAGCAAGACTGATTTCTTTTTCACTGGCTCGGATTTATGGGAAACTCGAGCAATCGAGACTCTACTGTATTTAAAATTATAAAATAGTTTTTTTGGGGTTTAAAAAAAAAATAACTTCAAAAAATGAAAAATTATTTACAGGGAGACACATACTCCTGTACTCCCACCACATGCTTAAAATTTAACATTAAGATTTTCACATTAAAATTAATTGTTGCTATCACAAGTTGGCGTCTATAAATATTAACAAATTCTGATGCTTTTGAGTTGTCTGTTAATTCAAATATAAGTGCTTAAAATTTTGAGGACAATTTTAGAACATTCCTCTTTTTTTTCTTATCCCGCCATAGTGTCACTTGAATACATTTTTGTTACCATACAGAAAGCCAATACATGCATGTTCCGATTTCCAGAAATAATTTTAAAAAGAATAATAATTATGCACTTATATTGACCATCAGATCTAAGAAACAAAAATACTTTGATGCAAGATGCTAAAAATACCATAGAAAAGCTATTTAAGAACTAGAAAGCCTGAGAGAAGTATTAAGAAACAAAATTGAAACATTTAAAAGAACCTGAAAATAAGAAATGAAAGGTCTTAAAAGAATTTTATGATTAAAATACCTTGATCCCTATATCTAATCAGTTTTATTATAAGTTCAGTGTCCTGTCCAACTTTAAGATAAACTTGAACCTACATTTCACAGAAGGAATGTTGCCTTGTGTGATACCTTGCTTTTTGTAAATAAAATGCTGCAAATAAACTTAAGATATTAAAACTAGAAGAAAACTTTATGAAAAATTTTTATACCATGTAAAAATATTGTGCAGGACAAAAAATATTTTTTTGAGAGAAATGTAGATTTGACCAAGTAATTTTGTCCTTAAGAAATGCTCCGTTAGTGATGGCAAACTGTTTAGTGCTGACGAATTCTCAATCAGAATTTGACAACACTAAACATTTGCTTCCATTAACCAACAGTTAACAAAAAGGCTGACACTGTATTAATACAGATAAACTTGAAAAATATAGAGTTAGCAAGCAAATGCTTAAAACGTAATAAATTTGGAGATTTATATGATATGAGAAATACAGGTTTTAGGGTAGAGAAGTTAGAATGTATCTGATACATTCTTGAAAATTTAACGACAATAACAGTTGCAATGACATAAAAACAAAGAGAAGAGTAAAAATTTTAAAAAAGTGGAGAAACACGGGTGTTTCAGAGATATCCTAATCAATATCAATCAAAGCACTGAACATTTTGCACATAAATGTAGGAAAATTTATTGATTTTATGATAAGCAGGTTTTGAAGAAATACATGATTTGGAAAAGATAAGTTTGATTAAATTATATCATTCTTGAATATTTGTATAACAATAAGTAGCTAGTTACATAACTAGTAGTTCACAAACTGGCTGATGCTATATTATTGTGTCAACTTTGGCCTTCAAATGCATGAAAATAAAAATTTCGAGATTCTTATTTTTCAAGAAATAGGAGTATTAAAAAAAGACAGATTTATAAATAGATGTGTTTTTCTTATTTTGATAACAAGCAACGTTTAAATCAGAGTTACTAAATATAATTTTCCATGTAATATCATGCAAATACTGTCACAAATAATATACAGTAGGGAACCGATTATCCGGAACGATCGGGACCATCGCTATTCCGGATAACTGATTTTTCCGGTTTTCTGAATCGCTACAAAAAGCCGTTTTTTATTGTTAAACCCAACTAAAAAAGAAAAATATTTGGAAATAATCTTAAAAAGAGGAAAAAACGATGAAGTAATACACTAATGATTAATTCCAAAATGATGGTAAGGTAAACATCTTTTAAAAAAGAAAGAAGAATCCTAAAATCTTATGAGGAAGATAAAAAAAAAATTTTAAAAAATGTCGGGAAAATTTATCGAATTTCGTTCCGGTTTTTTGGTTTTCCGGTTTTCTGATTTCCGGATAACAGGTTCTGTACTGTACATAATATGGGAATTCGTACAAATTTTCATTCAAGTAATTTCTACTCTCTGCCCCTCTTATACCAAAATAATCTTACCTCATTCTTTTCTAATTTCTTTTGTTCTTCGAATGCTTGTAAAATACTTGACATTGAGTTTTCCAATACTAATCCACCAGAAACTATTTCATTCAATACATAATGCACCTGAAAATTATAGTTTTTATTTTTAAAGCACGACTTTATTTAAATAAATTATTAATAGATAAGTTAGTGTCTCAAAGCAGTTATTTGTAATTACAATGACCAATCAAGGGCAATGGGTTTGAGCTTGCTTCTTCTTACATTATCCCTTTTAAAAGGTGTTCATTACAATTCAAAATTTGAATTTTGTACCTAAGCTAATTTTCCAACAAAGGAAAAAAAGATTAAGGTACAGCTGGTTAAAAATACAATACAATTTATGACGTTATTAAATTCCCACATTCAAGGTTGTATTAAAAATCTTTTTTCAGGCATAGGTCAGGGATAATAGCTCTACACTTTATGCAGAAGAACAGCAAACCTTTTAACAATCTGAGAAGATCACATCATTTAAAACATAATGGCCCAAGTGGTATGTTCAACTAAATTTTTAGTAAAAACAATCTGCTAGTACATAATGCTTTATAAAATAAAAAAACTGTATTAAAATATGTAATACTCCTTAAGAGCTATAGGAATAAATACAAACTGTTGAATTATACTCCTGTGCATGTAATCAGGTTGAGGGATGGCAAAAATCCTTTCATGGCCTTAGATTTTTAATGGTTACATTATGTAACAGTTCAGAAAAAAATATCCTTAGTTATACTGTTCTTTAAATTGCAGTTAAAATAATAATAGTAATGAATAACATTCAATAATATTTTTGAGCTATGGGGCAGCTGAAGCAAATATTTTTTAATGTCAACTTCAGAGGACACCCTGAAAAGTGATTGGCTGTATTCATGCAACTAGAGTGAAAAAATTAACAGACATTTACACACGTAAAATTGTTCAATGTGAATGAGTGCACAACTAATGCTACAGTTTCTCTTTTAAAGAAGCTGAAATTAAATAAGCATCAAGAGGAATGTTAATGAAATTTCCAGCTATAAGACTGAGCTGTCTGAGTAGCACAATAATTCCTCTGCCAGTCTGTCCTACACCACAAGTGTTGCTTTGACCTAACCACTGGGTCATCAGATTGAACTGTTTCTTCAGGTCAACATAATGTCTATACCTTGAACTAATTCTTCAGGTCAACATGGCACTTCTGCTTTAAAGCAGCGCTTTGTGAGTTGATACAGTATCTTCAGCACCTACTGATTTAAACTTAATATCTAAGATTCATCAATTGACAGCCATTTTAATTAACATAATTATTCCTGTATGACCATAAATGCCTTTGCTACTGCAACTTAATAACGGTATAACTAAGGCTAATTATTTTCTGAAATGCTACGTAACATAGCCATTTAGTTTTGAGAGCATAAAAGGATTGCTGCTATGCCTCAATCTGATTATATGACACAGGAGTATAGTTCACCAGTTTGCATTTTTGGCTACAGCTCTTAAGAAGTATTGCATATTTCAATACAGTTTTTCTTTTTTTTTTTTTTTTTTTTTAAAAGGCAACTTCAGCTTTTATTTAAAGTGAAAAAT